GAGAGAGAGAGAGAGAGAGAGAGAGAGAGAGAGAGAGAGAGAGAGAGAAGTAATTTCTTTTCTTTTTCTTTTAGTTAAAATAATAATAATAAGTTAAATAATATAAGTTAAAATGAAATATTTAAGGGCATATTGGTCATTTCAAGTGAGGTATGGACCAAAACCACATCAAAATACCATCGATAGGGACCAAAATCACACAAAATATTTGAAATCGGACCACTGATGCGCCAACATTTCGTTTTGGACCAAAAGCACATAAATTTGCCAATCACAGGGACCATTTTTGCAATTTTGTCCCATTAAAATTATGAAAAATGTCATCATTCCACCATTCAATTTAATTTATTTGATATATTTATAATACACCCTTAATGAGATAGTTAAAAAAATATGGAATGATGACATTTGTCATAATTTTAGTGGGTAGAAATATTTATAGGCATAAAAGGTAGGAAGCAGTTTAATTTGAATGAGAAACTCACCCATCAACCTAATCTTTATATATATTAAAACAAAAACCTGATGATGTGACATTCAACAATCAGAACCATTCATTGGATTTCTTTGATTAATTTCAACCCTTAGATCGTTCTTCATATTTCTGGTGATGTCATCCTAACAAAACAATTCACTATTTATTGAACGCATACTAAATTCTATTGATTACGTCCGTCTCTCATAACTACTTCCCATATTGAAATCGAAAAATCAACCACCAATTAGCGTTTTTTGATAAGCCGATGAGGATGATTGCAACATATTTGGTTGAAATACTTCCTGAATCGCTTCCTCAAGGTCAGTTATTACACCATTACATCGTCTGTTGATTAGGGTTCTATATTGTTAATCATCTTTTTATTCTGATTTATTTTCACCTTCATTAATCTTAACGAACATAGTTATCGGTTGATTGTAATCATCTTCTTTCTCAAACATGGGAACTTAATAAACATTTGTTATATGTAGGTACTTGAAGACGAAGAAAGACGAAGAAAGAAAAGAAATCCAGATTGTTATCGGTTGATTATGTTTTATATATACACTTTGTCTGTTTTGCTGTTGAAGATGATGATCTCTGTATATATAAACCCCCAAATACAGGGGATTTCTTTCTCGATTTCAAATTAGGTCAACTCCAGGGTAGGATGGTGCGACTTTGCAGGAGGACATCAACACCTATCTAGGTTCTTCTGGGTAAGATTCAAAATGTAATTATTTCAACCGAGCACCTGATATGGTTGAATTTTGGTTGAACTCTTTTTCACAATTTCATCAATTATCTTATAGAACAGATTCCACTCAATTTTAGAACATGTGGTTATAAGATGTAAAGTTACAAAAGATTTAATTCATACATATGGAAGTGAGAATGTTGCAAGATGTTTTGATTTAAGTCATACATATTTTTGATTTAAGTCAGTCCCTTATCTCTCTGTTTTTATTTCATAGCCTTATCGTATTATTCATGGGCATGTATAAGTAATTTTTCAACTTTAACTAATATTGATGCAAGATATTTCCAATGTTGTGTTAGTTCAGTTGAATATGTTGGAGGAAGGACTTGTGAATCACCCAGTTGTGGGATTTGGAGAATCTGGTCGCAAAGCAAGTTAAATGAGGATTCTATTGGCAAGAACTGAATAATATGAGGTTAGTTGTTGGGATGTACACATGGTTTAAAAATGAGATGTTTTTTAGTTTTTACATATGTTATACTATGCTCTATTGCTCTAACTTTATCGTTTTTTAAATTTGTCTAATTTCAGTCATTTGCACCTTCTGTGGGTGAACTTCAACACATAGAAATGAGATGTTTTTAGTTTTTACATATGCTATACTATGCTCTATTGCTCTAACTTTATCATTTTTTAAATTTGTCTTATTTCAGTCATTTGCACTTTCTTTGGCCACAAAGTTACTTGTTCATCCCTTAATCTTTGGCTTAAGCCACTAAGTTTGTTATTCCACAAACAAGATTTTATAATAATAATTTTTTTATTCTTCGTAACAAACTATGTTGACCAAGTCTATTATTGTCAATTTGTTTTAAGTTTAAATAACAAACTATGTT